CTACTGCCGCCCCCTTCAGGTCTTTGCTGGAATGTCACCTTCCCCCTGCTCTGTGGCCAGCCCCACAGCACCAATGCAATGTCAAGTCATCCTCAGAATGGTCCATGACCTCTGACCAGCATGTGGGTTCCACAAGGACAGGCCTGTGTGGCACTTGGGAAATGTCCAGAACATACCATGATGCGGGGGGAGGGGAGGGTGGCGTGGTGGGGCTAAAGGGCTAAGGAGGGCAGGAGAAATGGAGGCAGAATCCTGTGCTTGGGAACTTCAGCCCCCTCCCTGCTCCCCTCCTGTCCCCAACCCCTGCCCTGACACTTCCTGGGGTGTGCAGAGCCGGGAGGGCCGTGGTGACTAGCCTGGAAGGCCCCAGCGTGGAGCTGATACAGCCATCAGCTGCCCTGCAGCCACCACCATGGCCCCCGGTGAGTCTCACAAAGTGTCTCCTTCCACGGGGAGAATGTAAATGTTTACAAGGCAGCCACAGCTGGCTGGCCACCTGGCCACAGGAAGTTCTGGGACCCCGGTCCTTGGCCTGTAGTGTGTAACCCGCTGCGGAGGGATGTGGGTTCTTAAGAGCTCTTTGAACTGAGTCATAACCTGGACAGGGCAGGCAGATCTCCACTGTCCAGCTGTGTGTCCCTCCAATGGGACCCAAACCTGAAGGCCACAGTCTCCAGGACCTTCCTGTCACTTGGGACCTTTGCCAGCCAGACACCCCCCACCTCCACATACACACACACCAAGAGTTACCTTTGGACATCTCAAACCACAGGTGAATCGGACCTAGTCTTGTGGGGCTTGGGGGTGTGTGTATTTGTTTGTTTGTTTATGAGGCGGTATCGTGCAGCCTAGGCTGGGCTTGAACTCGCTGTGTGCCCAAGGGTGTCTTTGAACTCCTGATCCTTTTGCTTCCGCCTTGTATGGTTATAGGCATGTGTCGTCACGCACGGCTCCTGCTTGCTGCAGGAGGAACTCAGCACCTCAGCTAGGTGAGCCCTCAACCTATTGGGCAACTGTCCTATTCGGCTCTGTCAACTGGACCCAGCCTGCCTAGAGTCATCTGCGAAGGGTTGGGGATTATCTCGGGGTTTGATGGAGAAGAGCTCAGCCCACCGTGAGCAGCAGCATCCCCTAGACGGACAGCCCCGGGCCGTATGAGAAAGCTGTTTGAGCACAGGCCTGAAAAGAAGCCACGGCTTCCTGCCATGATTTCCTTTCATGATGCGACCTATGAGAAGGTAAACCCTTCTCTCCCCTAAGTTGCTGTAGCCACCTGCGTCTCCGGCTTGCCGTAGCTCATCTTGATGGCCACCTGGGTTACACTGACAAACGTCTAGGAGGCGGATAGAACTCCACGGTATTCCTCCACAGGCCTGCGCCGTGATGGGGCTGCAGCCCAGGCCTCTCTAGCCACATGAAAGACCCGGCTATTTTTGCTTGGAAGGCAGGCCCCAGTGCTTAGGATTGTGTAATTACATGTGGCCCTGGGACCATGAAGGGGTGGAGCTGGGGACTGGGGTGGGCTGGCACTGGCCAGGGCTGCTGAGCAGGGCGCTGTGGCTGCTAATTGCAAGGGTTTCAGGGCAGGGTCTCTGAAGTGTTTCCAGGCAGAGCAGAAACCCTGGTTCTGCTCTGGGCCTCTGAAATTATGGGTTGCTAGTGAACAGCCCAGCCTGTACTCCACACCACAGGGTTGCCCACGCCCCATAGAGGCCATAGCCAGCCAGGCCCCACACACGTGTCCCAGAAATCATGGGACGTGGTGTGAGACACTGGGGAAGGATGGAGCTTCTGACGGTGCAGGATCAGGTGGCAGAGGTGTCATTTACTGATTTCAGGTGTCGTCCTAGACGGGGAATCCACAGGTTCTCAACCCGTGGGCCGCCCCCGCCCCCAGGATCATATATCGGCTATCCTGCACACCAGATGTTCACATTATGATTCATAACAGTTGCAAAATTACAGTCATGAAATGACTTTACGAGGAATTGTAGTAAAGGGTCGTAGCATCAGGAAGGCCGAGAACCACTGTCCTAGAGGTGGAGTTAGGAGAGGGCCCCAGGCAAGACAGTCCTTTGTCCCTGCAGACCTGGCTGAGCCACGCTAGCCCGGCAGTATTTAGGAGCTGCCTCAGTGGCACTGTGTTCCTGACTGCCTCAGGGCCTTTGCACATGCTGTCCAGCTGCCGGGAACTCTCCTGCCTCTGTGCCTTCCATCTACAGTTACTTCCTACAGCGGAAGCCTGGGGACCGGGCTAGACACCCATCCATATAGCACACGCAGCCCCGAGCAACTCCTCCCAGCTCCCAGCCCAGGGTGCAGCCCCAGAACCCTTTGCGGTTCCCTTGCTTATTCCTCTTTTGTGAGCTCGGGTCGGGCCTCTTTGCTGTCACTGGCTCTGAAGACCTTACTTACTGCGGGCTGGACGCCACAGTCTTGGGACGTATCTGCAGAATGAGTGAAATCTGGGATGTCTGTAGGTGGGAGTCAGTGACTAGCATCTAACCCAAACTCATGTTTAGCTGTGGCCCAGGCAAAGTGCTGTGACCTGTGGCAGCTGGGTGCTGGGCTCTTTTGTCTCTGTTCATGAGTGGCACTTCCTGGGCGTGTATAGGGTATGTGCTGTGTGAACACACACATGTGTGAACAGGTGTGTGGATGTGTGTGTGTGTGTGTGTGGCCCTACGGTCCCTTTCTCCTGGCATGTCCAGGTAGGAGAGGGGATGGGCTGTGACAGCCCAGTAAGAGTTGGGTCACTGGCCGGGTGGTGGCACTTTGGAAGATTTGGAAATAGAAACTGGTGCATCGGAAGGGACCCTACATGCGGCCTTCCATTACCGCAAGGCATGCCACTCCGCCGCCGTGCGCCTCAGTTTCCTGTTCTGGCACAGAGCTTCACTCTCACACATCTCCGCCAACAGCAGCACCCTGTCAGGGTGCCACGGCACCAGACTGCAAGGCAGGTCTCTCCCAGGAGGCCAGATGTGGCTGCTCAGGGTCTTTGAGCTCTGTGTCGTCAGGCTCAGCAAAAATGACGCTGTGCTCTCCTTAACAGAGTAGAGCGACTGCCTGTGCGTGCACCACAGCAGCAATCGGTCACCCGGAGGCAGCTCGGGGGCCCACCAGCAGGCATGCAAACCCGTCCCATGCAGTCCAGGTTGCGGGCTGAAACCCCTGCACTCCCGAGGATTAGGAGCTCCAGAATGTACTCGGTTCACTTGTCAAACGTGAACCAGCCTGGGGTACAGGAGACTCTTGTCTCAAAAGAAAAGGAAAACAAAGGGAGAGAAAATGAAAAGGAAGAGATGTCAGTGGCACACTGGGATGCTAAAAGGCACAGCAGGCTGCGGAGGGGTCAGCAGGTCTGGTTCTGCAAAGGCACCGTGTAGAGTTGCCTGAGGGACTTGAGCATCTGTGGACTTTGGCATCGGAGTCTGGAGCCAGCCCCAGTCAGCACCAAGGTAGACCCTGTATCCCTGGGGCGAGACAGGAGTGCGTGCGTAGACCTGATCTGGGGCCTGTTGCTGTCTATACCCGGACCCTGTGACCGAGTCACGAAGGCCTCCATGGTCAAGAGCATTTTATGTGGTCCAGGGACCTTGGTGGGGACATGATAGCCCTTGGTCACCCCAAGGTGACAGGAAGAGGCCAGAGAACACTGAGCTCACTGCTTGAGGATTCTGTGTGGCTGCTGGACAAAGGGGAGGATGAGGCCCAAAGCCAAATCATGCAGGAAGCTTCCAGAACCTTTGATGAGGCTGTGGGTCTGGCTTTTCCTTAAACCAGACTCCTGACACAAGTCCTCAGTCTGTTGGGGACAGGGCATGCTCCCTGGGGAGTGGCCCTGGGGAGGTCTGGCTGCCTCTGAAACTGATGGCTAGTCTGAGGCAGGTTAGGCAGGGCCAGGGCCATCCTTATTCCTTCATCCCCTGAAGCGCCTTGTCAGCCCCCCCTTGTCCAGTGCTTACAGGTGGGGTTCCAGGGTGTGTCAGCCTTCCTGCCTGGCTTCCCTGTGGGCTCTCTCCTGCCATGGAACCCCTTCTGGTTTGCAGAAGGCCAATGCACACACTATGATGAATTTCGGTGCACATAGCCCCAGAAGCCTGCCACCTCCTGGAAGGGGGTGGTGTGTCTGCATTCCATCTGGGACCCGCTCTGCAGAGCGGGAATGCACCGGGTGCTTATGGGAATAAACAAGCATGTGGGTAAGTGAGCGCATGGAGTGCTCACAGGTCACTGGATTCACCTGTGAAAGCACCCATGGTGCTTCAGGCCGGGCCGTTCGCTACCATTCTCATGGCCTAGCTGCACCATTTGAGTTCCCTCATCTTCTTCCCACCTCTGTGGAATGGGCTCATAATTTCTGCTCAAGCTGCCCTGCCGGGGCTTTGGGAGGTAGAAGGCGGGGTGCCCCGGTACCTCAGGGCGCTCCTTCTCATCCCTAAGAATGGAGAAACTGAGTCCAGGGCAGGAAGGAACGGGACAGTGCCTGAACCCAGCGCCATCAGGGTTCCCTGAAACACCCCCATTCCCACTCTGTACCCTAAGCCTGGAAATCCTGAGTCACAGCTGGAACGGGCCATGGAGAGTTTTCCTTCCCACTTCCAGGGGCCTCAGAGCCTCCTGACCTCGCCCCCCCCCCACCCCCGGGAATGTGTGTGTGGCGGGGGATGGGAAGGACCTCAGCTTGAAGTTCTGGGGAAACCCTCCTGGAAGCCCCTCTGTCTGTCAATTGTCTGAGTCTGCCCAGGGGACTTGAGGTCAGGAGGAAGCCAGCATGCAGTGTGAGGAGGGTGTGTGGCCTAGAATAGTCCCTCCCTTCACTGGCCCCACCCCCAAGCTCTCTTAATGAAATCAAGCTGGCCCTCCAGCCCAGCGGGGAGGAGGAAGGAGGAGGGAGGGCCTGGAGGCCAAGGTGGGCAGGCACCAGCCAGAGCAGCTGGCGGCAGAGGCAGACGGTGGCAGCAGCCGGCAGGCGACTGACTGTCGACTGTCGGGCTGTCTAGCAGGGCCAGGCTGGTCTGACCTGGCAGTGGCCCCTGGCCTTCCTTCCTTCACAGGGAGCTGGTAAGTCCCAACCTGCAGCTCTGAAAGTCTGAGGTGGTTTGGAGTTTGGTGCTGGTGCCTCTTGGAGAACTTTTTCCAGAATTCCTAAATGTGTGGGTATGTGTTTGAGGCTGTGAGTTTGCATGCATGCGGTAAGATGTGTGTGCATGGATGCAGGGGTCACCAGAAGGGTGCGTGTGTGTAGTTGGGATGCGGGAAGGGTGCCGGCGTGTCATTTCCAAGGCCAGTGTGCTGCTGGTGGGAACTTGCATTGTCCTGTGAGCAGCTGTAGGCTGTGCCCCGGGATGTCTCAAGCACCAGTTGGTGTATGTGTGCATAAGAGCTGGTGGCTGTGGGAGCTTGCTGGAGGGTTTTGGAGTTGTGTGTTGTAGGTTCTGGCTTCTGCTGCTGCTGGTGTGTGTGTGTGTGTGTGTGTGTGTGTGTGTGTGTGTGTGTGTGTAAGCTTGTGTGTAGGCTCTGAGATCTCAGTCTCCTTCCAGACTTCTCCAGGGGTACAGATCCCTGTCCTTGGCAGCCCCAGGGGAATAGGCTGTGGACAGGATGCTTCAGCCAGAGCCCCCTCCCCCCAAGTCTAATTGAAGCCAGGTTTCTATGGCCTGCCCCTCCATCACTGGCCACCAGTTTTTGGGTGGGGGTGGAACAGAGGCTCTGCCTAGTCAGCCTCAAGTCCTGGGGTACTCGGTCCTTAGGGTTAGCTTCGCCTCATCTGCATATTCATGACCATCTCCAATTAAAACAGCAGCTCCTAAGAGAGAGGGCCCTGGAAGGCATCCTAGACAATCTGCTTCATGCGCTTGCTGACACGTATGTACCAGGCATAACTGTGACCTGTCCCCATTGCACAGATGTAGAAGCTAGAGCTCGGGGAGCTGATATGCCCTAGTCCAGACACAACTGGGAGGTGACATGAGGCTGTTGTGAGCCTCCTCTCCAGCAGGGCTCTGCTGGGCAGTGACTTTCCTCTGGGGTAAAAACAGAGGAGTAATCAGCCTGCCACCCTGAGTCCTTGTGCAGGATAAGCCCGGGAGGCCAAGGAGACCCCGCTGCCCCTGGGAGGCTGGTCGGGGGTGCCTGGCATCTAGCAGTCATTTCGGCTGTGTTTGGGTCAATTCTTCTGTTCCACAGAGAGGAAACTGGGGCCCAGAGGGTTTAGGGGAGCCACCCAGGGTCACATCGCCATCTCCTACAGGATTTGGCTAGCTCCATGCAGGGCTGAGTCCCCACACTTAGCTGCCTGCTGCCGTTCTTGGGGACTGAGGAAAGTAGGTGGGGACTCCGAGAGTTAGGGACTTGCTCTTTAGGGATAGGACTAGTTCCTGCTATTTCCTTCTGTATCCCCTGGGCTGATTTCGGGGTGCTCTCTTGTCTGTGGCATTACTGTCTACATGTATGCGTCTGTGCACACGTATACGCACATGTGTTCTGCTCTTCCGCTAGGGGTGTCGGGGGCCAGAGCAAGTGAGGACAGTCATGGGTCTGCTGAGGGGAAAATGCTGGCTTACCCTGCCTGGAGCATTCCATTCCTGAATTCCAGCTTTCCTATGGGATCAAGCCTGTGCTGGCACTTCTAGAATGTTCTCTCACACAATGTCAGCAGCTCTCAGAGTCTCAACCTGGAGTCACCCCACCGTGGCCCATTTGAAGTTGGGGAAAGTAAGGCTCAGAGGAGCCAGCTGGCAGATTTAGACATGGCATGGCCAGGTTGATCAAGCTAGCCCGGTGGCTTTCCTGCTGATGTATCTGCAGTCAGCATGCCTGGGGACGTGTACAGCGCTCAGGCACTGTGGTCAGGGTGGCCTGTCCCCCTGGAGCCACAATCCTCACTTGCCACAACTCTTTTAGATAGCATCTTATGTATGGCCCTGGATGGCTTTGAATTTGTCAACCCACTTCTGTCTCCCGAGGGCTGCCCCAGTGCTGGGGTGTAGCTCAGTGGCAGAGCCCTTGCCAAACATGCATGAGGCGCTGGGTTTGGTCCCCAGCACCACCCCAAAGGGGAGGATGCAATGCAGGGTGGGGGGCAGGTCAGTAAGATGCTTGCCAGGAGAAAAACGAGGAATTGAAGCCCAACAGGAAAAAAGCCAGGCGTAGCGATGTGCACCTGAAATCTCAGCCCAGAAAGGCAGGGACAGGGGCCAGCCCAGCCCCCTTGGTGACTCCCAGCTGGCATGGAGAGACCCCTGGGTGTAACATCCCAGAGTGTCGTCTGATGTGCACACGTGTGCACACTGGTACACATGCACAGGCATGTGTACCCTCACAGCATGTGGATGCCCACAGCTGACAGAGGAATCAAATCCCAGCCCAGTCACAGACTCTCTGTATGTCCTTGGACATGTCACCATCCACTCAGAACCTGAAGGGTATCTATTCATTGTGGGCCTGGACCTAGGGAGAGGGTTGAGATGAATCATCCTCCACGGACTTCTAGACCATCACCGTTCATGAGCCCAGGGGCTCAGCAACAGAGAGCTTGCCTAGCGCGCAGAGGCTCTGGCACAGCAGAAAAAGGAAGATAAATAAGATGAGCGAAGTGATAATTTAACCACTTTAGAAAATAAAGTTTGTAATGTTTATTTATTTATAGGGGTTGCGCAGATCACGTGTGTGAGAGGGGGTCAGAGGACACTATGGGAGCTGTTCTCTCTTTCGAGAGATCCTGGAGATCAAACTCAGGGCATCGGCCTTGGCAGCAATCTCCCTTCCTGCTGAGCCATCTCGCTGGCCCATTTGCCAGCCTTTTGCTGTTTGAGCCAGTTTTGACTCTGCATCAGTGCAGAGGCCCCTGCTGTGGATCCCAGCAAGATAGAAAGCATTTTAAAAATGTAGCTAAAAGAACTTAATAGTAAAGATGAACAGCATTACAACACCCCCCCACACACACACACCAGCCAAACACACACACCCGCGCCACACACACACACCTGCCACACACACCCACCACACACACACGCCACACACACACACCTGCCGCACACACATGCCACACACACACACCACACACACACACACAACACCTGCCACACACACCCGCCGCACACACACGCCACACACACACGCCACACACACACGCCCGCCACACACACACCCATACCCACACACACACACACACACACCACACACACACACACACACACACACACACACACACACACACACACGGCATTTGTGGTGTTGTGAGTCACCCAGAGCTGACTGGGAAGACCAGGAGGTTAAGAGACGCCCAGTTTCCTCTGATACTGAGGGCTCAGGGCACATAACCAACCGGAAGGCTTCAGCCCACTGGGACAGTCACTAAATGACAGGCTTCCTGAGTCCCTGTCACACAAGAGGCAGGTAATAATACCACCAGTGTCTTCAAGCAGGGCCCGTGACCATGGCGCAGCTCAGAAACTTGCTGTGTGGCCTGTTGCCTGCTCTGGGCCTCTGCTTCTGTCTCCCCTTAGTCCTCTGAGGGAGACCCCTGAGACAGGGCCCTGAAGCCTTCGCAGTCTTAGACTTCTAGCCCTCAGGGCACCAGAGCCCTTTGCTGGGCTAGCAAGAGTTTGAACCCCAGATCACATTCCCCCGGCAGGGAGAGTTAGTGTAAACTTGGGCAATGAGGAATTTATTAATTAGCCTGGCTGTCTGGGGTCTGGGGGTTCATGCAGGGAGCAGCCTTGCAGGGGGGAGGGGCACATCTGGTTCCCATTTAGTCATGGCAGTGAGGAGGGGCTGAAGTGTGGGCTGGCTTTGTCTCCCCAGGAACTGCGGCTCCCCCTGGAACCTCTTGGGTATTTTGGGGGCTCACAGTGAAGTCCAGGCCGCCAAGGATTGTGGGTTCAGGGGGTGCAGATGCCCTGAGCTCCATCCTGGCAACCAGGCCTCCTATGGAGTGTGCAGACCTGGCAGCTTCAAAGCCTAGAATCTTCTGGAAAAGGAAGTGGGTGGATTGGAAAAGCCTATGCTGGAGCTACCAAGGCCCCAGGGTAACAGTGCTCTGGGGATACTTCCTGTTTAAAGGTGTCCCTCAGCCATCTGGTCCCCCACCCCAGCTCCATCTCTTAGAGCCCTCAGGCCATTATTTCCTTTCCACCTGCCAGATCTCCCTGAGCCTTAGTTTCCCCTGAGCCCTGATTTCTGCAGCTGGAAATGGGGACAGTCATGGCCCTTCCCCCACTGGGAGGCTCTCAGGCTTCCATGACAAATTTCTTTTTTCCCCTCTTTTTCTCTTTGGGTTTTCCAAGACAGGGTTTCTCTATATAACAGTCCTGGCTCTCCTGGAGCTCACTCTGTAGGCCACGCTGGCCTTGAACCCACAGAGATCAGCCTGCCTCGGCCTCCAGAGTGCCGGGGATTGAAGGTCTAAGTCACCACCTCTGGGCCCATGATAAATCCCTCTTTGGGCTGGGAGATGGCTCTGGAGGTGGCGCTGTTAGATCTGCGTTGCGTCTCTCACCCCCATGTTGAAAGCCCGGTGTGATGGCACATGCCGTCGATGCTCTGATGCTCTGACGCAGTGGGATGGGGACACGAGAGAAGTCTAGGAGCCCTGGGTCCCAGTAAGGGGCCCTGTCTTGCAAATGGAGTGGAGGAGGGTGCCCTAGGAGGAATGGATGACATTGGAAGTTCTCCTCCAGTTTCCAAATGCATCCCTCTTCAACTAGAATCCCACGCCCAATAAACCCTAGTACGTGGACTCGGCCTCACTGTTGAAGAAACATCTATTGAGCCCTTAGTGTATACCCAGGGTGTAAAACGCCGAGGAACATCAGAGGGGAGGGGACAGGCGGCATTCCGTGTACAACGGCCTGGGGGTGCGTCCATGTTGCTGCACAGCTACAGGACTTGCTGGGATTGGGATGTGTTCTGGGTTCTCAACCTGATTTCTGTCTTACGGCTTCCCCGCAGGTTCTGTGGTCAACATGGTTTCCAGCCTCCTCTTGTCTCTGCTGCTACTTTTGAGGCCCATGCCCTTGGTGGCCTACTCTGTGTCCCTCCCAGCCACCTTCCTGGAGGACATGGGGGGCAGTGGGGAGGCTGAGGGCTCCTCAGCCTCTTCCCCGAGCCTGCCACCACCACGGACTCCAGCCTTCAGCCCCACATCGGGGAGTCCCCAGCCCACAGCTCTGGAGGGCCCTGCGCCCCCCACCAACCTCCTGGATGGGATCATGGACTTCTTCCGCCAGTATGTGATGCTCATCGCGGTGGTGGGCTCTCTGGCCTTCCTGCTCATGTTCATCGTCTGTGCCGCTCTCATCACCCGCCAGAAGCACAAGACCACGGCCTACTACCCATCCTCCTTCCCGGAGAAGAAGTATGTGGACCAGAGTGACCGGGCTGGGGGTCCTCGTGCCTTCAGCGAGGTTCCTGACAGGGCACCCGACAGCCGGCCGGAAGAGGCCCTGGACTCCTCCCAGCAGCTCCAGGCCGACATTCTGGCTGCTACCCAGAACCTCCGGTCTCCAGCCAGAGTGGTGCCAGGCAGTGCGGAGGGAACAAAGCCGGTGAAGGGTGGGTCAGAGGATGAGGTACCCAGCAGCCAGGAGGGGGCCCAGCAAGCCCCAGCATGCGGAGTCCCTGTAGGGAAGCTTGGGGTCTCAGAGGAGTCAGGCCCAGCAGAGGCTGGAGGGGCCCCTGCAGCCAGTGAGGGCCAAGGGGGCCAAGAAGGGTCTGTCTCTGTAGCGGAGGAGCCCCAGGGACCAGCCGACCCCCCTGAAGGTCCCTGTGCTTGTAGCGGCGTGTCCCCCAGTGTCTGAGGCCCCGGAACTGTTGGGCCTGACTGTTAGGTCCTCAAGGGTCACCTCTTTGGTCAAAAAAGGCCTTTATCTCTGACTGCCATTGCTGGCGCCAATCCTGACCCTGAGTGCGCAGAGCTGATGGCCTCCGGTGCGCCCCAGGAAGCATCACCCCAAGTTCCAGTGCCTTCGATGCCTCTTGCCAAAGCACACTTCTCTACCAGAGGAAGGACAAACACACCTCAGTTGGAGCTGCAACAGTCCCCACGAGCAGCCACAGCAGAAGGGGAACAGGCCAGAGGCCTCCCCCACCCCCGTGAGGCTGGGAAGATAGCCGGGGCTCATCACGGATGGGCCTGGCATGGTCCTCAGCTGCTCCGTGCCCGGCTGGGAAAGCAAGTTGCAGCCCGTTGCGCCAGGGACTGCAGAGGGTCCTCTTCGCCGCACCTCCCCAACACCAGAATGTGGGCTCACTCTCTCTCTGCTCAGCGGACTTGCTTAGTTAGGAAGCATTCTGAAGGGCCTGACACCTTGTCACAGGGTCCCCCTAGACCCTGCATGGATACACAAACTCAGTCATGTGAGCCGAGGGGCCACTGTGCCCCTCCCCAAGCTTATGCAACTACTCTAAGGGTTCCCGTCTGGCTGGTCTTCTCTTTCCTCCGGCTTTTTCTCTTTTTCATTTTCTTGCTTTCTGTTTTTAATTATTATTTTACATATCGGTCTCAGTTCCCTCTCCCACCCTCACACGCACCCCGACCACCCTCCCCTCCCACCCACCCCCCTCCACATGTAGGGTGATGCCCTCCAGGAGGGGGCATCTGAATCTGTCAGTCCTCCTGCTTTATAATTAGGGTGATGACGAATAGCTACAAAGTCCAGTCTCACACCAATCTCACAGTACCCGCTCCGGAAAACACCGTTCCTGATTTTCTCTAAGGCACCCCACTTTCTGATTGGTTTCGGTGTTAGGAAGTGAGATGCCGGATGCCGGGAATCCGGTTCTCGCAAGCATCCAGCAGCTCTGAGAGTGTGCCTCTCACCTTGTTATCGATGCTGGGATGAGGGAATGGAGGGAAGCTCTTCTCTGTTGGTCCCTGAAGCAGCCTGGAAGCCAACGGGCATTTGGGACAACCGCCATTCCGGATTCTGACGCCCAGGCTAGAGCAGGGGCCTGGCCCATCGTTTGCTCACACCGTGGCCTGGCAGCCTGAGCCCACACCATCCCTCAGTCCTTGACAGTGCGGAGGCTTTGTCCTGTTGGGGTGTTGGGGGGGTCCCCACATCTCCATTCAGGGCTCCCTGACACCACAGCTGTTCAGGTGTGGAGATATAACATATAATAAACCTTGATCTGGCTTGAGTATCTGGGCTACCTGTGGCTGCTTAAGTCTACAGTGAGGGAGGGGTGGCTGTGGGCTGTGGGCAGCATTATGGGAAGGCATTGGCCAGGTCCTAGAGCTGAGGATGGGTGTGACCGAGAAACGATGGGTGCCCGTAGGTGCTGGGCCCACATGCCTGAGGAGTCCTGGAGGTGGCGTGTCAAACAGTTCTGCAGCTGGTGTGGCTACACCACAGCCACCTCGTCTTTGCGCTGTGGGACAGCGCAGTGGCAGAGTCTTCCATTCTCTGTAGGTGGGACAATATTGCCCACACCCACCCTTGGCAGGTCTCTTGGCCCGCAGACATGCACCCAGTCATTGACCCTCTACTTCTAGTTTCTTCCTTCCCTTTGACAGCGAGTTCCTGTGTTGGTGACCTCTCCTGCCTGTGCCCAGGAACTGCCTTCTGGGATCCAGATGTGGCAGGGTTTGGGAACCTGTGCCGGGTTCCCAGGATGGTGGTGGCAGGGAGGCTGTCTCCTAGAGCCTACTGTCTCCTAGAGCTCTGATCCTTCCAGGAGCCCACGTGCAGTCTGAGGGGCCCAGCTTAGGCTTCCGGAATACACGATGGCCTCTGTGTTGTATGGCTAGAAAGGACATCGTCTCAGCCCAGCCCAGCTTCCTCCAAGAACACTGGAAGACTTGCATATGTTCCCCAAGTACCTCCCATTCCAGTGTGCTGTGTGGCTCTGGCCAGGGGCCTCAGTTTCTCTGGGTGTCAGACTCTCTCCTTGTTGCGGAGCTCTGACTGTGGCTGGAAAGTCCAGAAGCTCCCTGGGGTCACGCCAAGACCACACTGGAGAGCAGTTCCCCAGGAAGCAGCCGCCCACTAATTCCAGGAGAGCTCTCCAGAGACTGCTGGGTAGCAGGCCTTAACAACAGCGTGTTCTCTGACCCTGGAGAGGGATGGGATTAAGGAGGTAGCCTGACAGCCTTTGTGCCTCCGAGCTTTATAAGTGCAGTTCCCGATGTCCTGGTTCCCTTCAACCCTCCCACACTTCCTGCAATGCTAACTCCACCTCAACTTTCAGCTTCTGGCCTAGACCCTCCCCTTCTCCACCTCCGTGGAGGAGCATGGGTGACTGGGTCTTCTGTCGGGCCCATTCTAAGTCCTGGACTCCTTACTCACCGAGAAGCGGGTGCTGGCATTACTACCACAGCCCAAAGAAGGAATCGAGGCGGGGGCGGTGTGGCCAGCTGCCCGCGTTACACAGCTCAGTGGACACGGTCCTGAGTGTTCAAGGGATGGCGAAAGGAGGGAGGGTTGTGTGGCCAGAGGGAGGAAATGAGGGACTGATGGAGGGAGGGAGAGAAGGGTGATGAGTAGATAGATGGATGAGTGGGCAAATGGGTGGAGGGATGGACACAGGAGAAAGCAGTTGCCTCAGGGAGGGGACAGCAGGCCTCCACTCCTGCTTAGAGCCCTCTAGTTCTCCACATCTACAGGGATCTTCCCAGAAGGGCTCTTTTGTGGACACACCCGGGAAGCCATAGAGGGAGATCAGGAGTTGTAGGCTAGGGCCACAAGGGATAGACCGGGGTTTGATGGTCAGGGGAGACAACTTCAGTGTCTCCTGAGGGACCAAGGTCTGAACCAAGGCATCCTGTTAATAACCTGTTCATCTGTCTGCAGCCAGGCCTGCTGCCTGTGGGTGTGCGCCTGTGTACATGTGTGTGGTCATAGCTGGGCACTGGTGGCAGGCACGCTTTTAATCCCAGCACTCAGGAGGCAGAGGCAGATGGATCTCTGTGAGTTCGAGGCCAGCCTGGTTTACAAGAGCTAGTTCCAGGACAGCCTCCAAAGCCACAGAGAAACCCTGTCTCAAAAAACAAAAAACAAACAAACAAGAAAGGAAGAAAGAAAAGAAAAACATGTGTGTAGTTATGCGTATGTGTGTGCACAGGTGCTTGTGTGTGCATGGTCGTGTGTGTGTGTGTGTGTGTGTGTGTGTGTGCGTGCACATTCGTGCATGCATGCTTATATGTACCGTGTGTGTGTTTGTGTGTGTACATGGTCATGTGTGTGTGTGTGTGTGTATGCGTGCATTCGTGCATGCATGCTTGTATGTACAGTGTGTGTGTGTGTACTTATGAGTGTGTGTGTATGCGTGCATTCGTGCATGCATGCTTGTATGTACAGTGTGTGTGTGTGTGTGGTGCTTTTGCCTGTGGGGGGTGAGGAGCTGGAGTTATGGAAGGAAGAATGCACCCCGCCCTTTCCTCACCCTGCTCTGGTGAGCCGCAGGGACAGGGCTGGGCCATACCCAGTTGAGAACAGAGGCAGATTCGGTCTCTGCACACACGCTTGTCCCTGTCACGGTGGAGTCAGAACTGGTTTGATGTCGGCTCCATTCTCAGCTGTGTGGCGCTGGGCACACTCCGCCTCGCCTCTCTGGGCATCTGTTGCTGTGTGAAGAGGGGTGGCCTTATCCCGAGTCAGGGCTGCGGTGTAGCTCGGTGGCGTAGAGTGCTTGCTCGGTGCAAGTCCCCTTAGTTCTCCCCTACACGAAAGTATGAAACAAAGTTCACAGAGAGCAGCACCAGCCCAACTCCCAGGCTGTTCCTGGTGGAGGGGTCCAAGAGAAGAGGGGTGTGTGGCTCTGCCTCCACCTCAGGGCTGCTCTGGCACTCACCTGGTGTCCGCGCTCCTATGTGAGGAGGGGGGAAGGCAAACACCAGCTCCACATAGCCACCTCTAACTCTCACCACAGAGACCAGCAGCTCAGAGAGGGCAGCGACTTGCTCCAGGCCACACAGCCCTGCAGAATTGCACTCGAAGCCACATCTGTCCGAAGCTTGGGCAGGAGTCCTCAGAACTGTGACAACTGACCGCCTTATTTTAGAACGTGTCATTTTATTTTATTTTTAAATGTGATTTATTTTGTTTTGGCAGGATTCTGCTGTGTGGTCCAGGCCGGCTTTGAACTCCTGCCTCATCATCCAGTGCTAGGATTGCAGGCGTGAACCACAGCTGGCTAGAGCTTGTCAATGGTCCAAAGGCCAAACTCAGCTGTTGGTAGTGGGGTGGGGGATACACGTGAATGCTGTTTCCTCCATCTCTCCTGCCTTCCTCCCCACACAGGGTCTGTGTGGGCTGTGGAGAGATGATACAAGGGCAGGTGGTGAGCTTCCTGAACTCTCCTTAGGGCACCTTCTTCCAGTGCCAAGAGTAATGTGGTGTAATTATGCCATTGCACAGCAAAACCCACCCCTAGGAAGAAAAAGGGAAATGAAGACCCATAGAGATCAAGTCCAAGATCTCGTGGTCACACGGAGCTTTGAACACCGGATGACAGGGGGTCGAACGGGACCTCAGGAGCCTCTGGTTCAGTGGGCATCAGAACTGTGGCTGGGCCTTACTGTAGCCCACAGGGTTTGGAGTCCCCTGGGAGAAACACCCGTGGGCCCCTCTGCGAGGGTGTTTCCAGAGAAGTTTAATCAATCGAGTAAGGCCCACCGTGAACACAGTGCATTCTGTGGGCTGGGGTCTTAGGCCGAAAACCAGGGGTGGAGTGAGAAAGGGAATCGGCATTCCTCTCCGCTTCCTGACAGGTGTGGGCCACCTCAGCGCCTCTACAGTGCCATCAGGCTATGAGGGGTCACTTCCTTTCCAATCATCAGCCGGGGTGAAGCCTTCTTTAAGCTGAGTTTGCTGGACACGCAGTCTCAGCAAACTGGCCCCAAGAACGGGGTGGGGGTGGGGCTGGAGCAATGGCTCCGTGGTTAAGAGTGCTGTCAGGTCTGGGTTCGACTCCCAGCACCCCCCTCGGAGCCCTTATCCATCTGTAACTGTAGGGTTAGGAGGCTCAGGGTTCTCTCCTGGTCCATGAGGGCTTCTGTGCACAATCTCTCAGCCACACACACATAAAATAAATAAATAGCTCTCTCTCCTCTCTCTTTCCTCTCTCTCTCTCTCTCTCTCTCTCTCTCTCTCTCTCTCTCCCAGCAGGGCTATTTTATGTAGTGTTGGCTGCCCTAGAATTCAATATGTAGACCAGGCTAGACTCACAGAGATCCACAAGCCTTTGCCCCCCCCCCCCAGATGCTGGGGCTAAAGGTGTGTGCCCTCAGATCTGACTAACAATACATTTTAAAAAGCATCACCTGGGGTCCCTCTGTGGCTGTTTTGGGAGTGGATCAGGTTTGAGACCCTGATCTAAAGCAGCCATTTATTCTCTTGTGTGTACATGTGTATGTGTGGGGTATTTTGTCTGCATGCATGCGTGTGCACCGCGTGTGCACCATGTGTGCACCGCGTGTGTGCAAAGGCTAGAAGAGGGCACCAGATCCTTTAGAACTGTAGCTACAGATGGTTGTGAGCTGCCATGTGGGAGCCAGGAACTGAACCAAGGCCGGTGCTCTGGACTGCTGAGCCGTGTCTCCGGCCCGTTCTTCTAGTGTATTTGACCACACGAGGCCCAGCTGGGAGCTGGGCAGACCTTGCACCAGCGGAGGTAAGGATAGGGGTTTGCCTCTCCCTTTCAGGAGGCTTAATTTCAGGATGTCTGTGGCTGCTCAGAAATGGCAAGGGGTGGGGACTTGGCGCCGGCTCTGGGCCCTGGAGACCCTTTACAGCTGTTCCCCTGGGTGGGAGGGTGGGGGCCAGTTTATGGCAGCAGCTGCAGAGTGAAAAATAGCCAAGCTTGCAAAGCGGCCTTTCCAGGAACACTGGAGCCAGAGGCGTCTGTGACATCTGCCCTTCCCTGAGAGGGCCCAGGGCTTCTCCCTCAGGCTTGAGGGTCGGATTCGGTCAAGGGAACCGGAGGGAGGCAAGGGGTTCATCTGGACAGAGGAAGACTGGGTTTGTAGCAGGGCCCTGGGTCTCCTCCATCCTCAGAGTGAATGAGGGACAGGGTGCGTGAGGGCAGGCCTGGGACCTCCATTCTGTCTCCCGGTGTGTTTTTGCGAGGGTCACTTAAAGCCCTCATGGTAGGGGTGGGAACTGAGGTTTTTCTGGGACAGGGCCCCCTATGGG